TTTTCATTTTTTGTTGTTTTTCTTAAATATGTTTTATTCCATCTCTATTGTCCTAGTGAAATCGACATATTGACCCATTTATCGGAAATGCAAGGATATCTTGAATTTACAAAAAGACTAGGTGGGAAACTGGATTTGATCTGTGTTTAACATTTGAATTGAAATATTTCTTGATATTACAGTTAAAAAATTTGCACTTTTCTTTGGATTTGGGATTGTCAGACCTCAGCTTTGATATTTCAGCTTAGCATTGTATGTTTGTGTAGAGGTTAAATGTTTATCACTATGGTGCCTCCACCTTAAATGACTTCATGAATACTCTGCTAGTTGATTGTTTGTTTTTGCAAAACTGTTTGTGTTATCTAGATATGCTCACTTTGGCATTCATCCACTGGTCTTATAATAGGAGCTAGCATCACTATGGGAGAAGATGAGAACTCGAAATATTGCGAAAGAAGAAAGATCGAGGTGTGCTGTCATACAACTTCAAACATTTGAGTTGATTCTGAATCTTGCTGGAAGATTGTAATTTATTTGTCACTTGGTCTTTATAACGTCTTTTATTCTTTTTATCCATTGATGCAGATTGGTGAGTGATGCTTTGAAGAAAATGAAAGGGAAGATCCCTGAAATAGCAAGCTCCCATGTTTCATCTCGTGTTCTTCAGGTTCTATCCTCCCTCTTCTTCTTGTTAATGACAAGGATTTATGATGCTCCTAATGGTTTTGCCAACTCTTTTGCTAACACTTTTTTTTGTTATTAATAGACTTGTGTGAAACATTGTACACAAGATGAAAGGAATGCTGTGTTTGTGGAGATTCGACCTCATTTTATCACTCTTGCTACCAATACCTATGCAGTTCATCTGGTGACAAAGATGCTTGATAATGGTAATTTTGTACTAATCAGTGTTTTAAAAGGCAGGGGCGTGAGGCGAGGCGTAAGCCTCGAGACACGGGGCGTAAGTCCCACGGATCTACGGGGCGTATTCTCATCTATATTCAGTTTTTTAGTTTTATTACTAATAAAATAAGCAAAAGTAAACCTTTCAATGATTTTAATAATATTTTTTTATAAATAACCTATAATATATAAAAAATTATGTTTATTTGAGATAAGTATTAATAATCATTATAAAGAAAAAAAGTATTATACTATTTGAGAAATATCATTACACTAATAATAAAAACTATGATTTAAAGCAAAAAAGGTTAAATAAAAATTAAAAACACCCGGGCCTACGTTTTTTACGCCCAAGACTTGCGTTTTTATGTTTGAGGCTTACGCCTCAAATTTTAGAACTTACGCCTTATGGATCTACGTCTTTAATTTACGCCCCGGAGCGTTTTTGGTACGCCCCGCCCCGAGACTCGCCCCAAAAACGTTTTTGAAAACACTGGTACTAATTATACTTCCGAGCAATTTTATTAACTAAAAAAAAATCTTATTTGTCCTTTATTTGACATTTTTTTTGTGCTTTGCAGCATCCAAAGAGCAGCAGGCACTATTTATTTCTGCTCTTCATGGGCATGTTGCTACTCTTCTTAGGCATATGGTTGGTTCACTTGGTAAGATGACCTGTCCTATTGCTGTGAACTTGGTTTTGATTAATTTTTTGCCACAGATTTCGTTCTATTTTGCTCGATCCTACTTTTCTGTTTAAAAATCAGTTCATTAGCTGTTGCCAGCTGTAATTTTGGGAGAAAGGTTTCTTTCCAGTAATTCCCTTAATAAAACACTGGTTTTACTATTGCAGTTGTTGAACATGCTTATCAGTTGGGAAATGCAGCTCAAAAACAAACTCTTCTGATGGAGCTGTATTCCCCAGAGCTTCAGTTGTTCAAAGATTTGATCTCAGCGAAGGAAGCAAGGTAATTCCTAGCTGTTAGTGACAGCATGCTGCATGCGTACTTTAGACAATTTAAAAGTTTTCTAGGTTGTGATGTCAGCTTGGGACATGTTTTTTCTTCTTCAACAGGATATACTTATGATATTTTTTTGTTTTACTCTGGTTGACATTTTCTCTTAAATATCGCCTTACTGTTGCTCCTTCATCTGATATTGTTCATTAAATTGCTAATCACCTTACTATGTGTATTGATAGCAAAATTTGGTGTTAAAACTGATGCGTTCATGTTGATTCTTTTTCGATAAATATACTTTACGTTGTATTCATATTTGTACTTAATGAATGCATTGATTTCCTAATTTAGCTGCCATTCACATTTTATGATACTTCCAGGCTAGTTGACGTTATATCCAACCTACAGCTTCAAAAGGGTTCAGTTATACGGCACATGACCTCTGTACTTCAGCCTATTATGGAGAAAGGGATACTGGACCACTCAATTATACACAGGGCACTTGTGGAGTACTTAACTATTGCTGATAAGGTACCTCAGAAACCTTAATGAGGTATTAATGAGTTGGCTTATCGTGAACATCCCTCTCTAAATTTAAGTCTGTTCCAAGACTTCTGCTGCAGAAATAATCCAGCAGTTGTCAAGTCCAGACCTTGTTCGGATGATTCACACAAAGGATGGATCCAAGATTGGGATATTCTGCATCAAACATGGGAGCGCAAAGGTTTTTGAGCATTCTTTATATGTCTTAAACTTGTCCTAGTGGATTTTCTGTTAGTGAACGGATTTCAAATGCCATTTGGACTTTCCTGTTTTAGGAGCGGAAGAAGATCATCAAAGGGATGAAAGACAAGGTTGGAAAGGTAGCACGTGATAAATGTGGGGCTTTGGTAAGTATGCTTTTCTTGCATTTTCTAAATGCTTTGGTCTATTTGCATCCATCGTGCCTTCTTTCAGATACTACCAGTCTTCATCCTTGCACCTTCTCTCATTTATTAGTACCTTTATGCTCCTATTATTTTCACAGCTTCTGTTCTCAATAACTTTCAGGTGCTTGTCTCCATCCTTTCAATTGTCGATGACACAAAACTTCTATCAAAGGTTTGTTCCAGCTGCTTTTCCTAATCTGTTATCAAAGAGTTCTACTTTTAAAGCTGGTCAGGTTGACCTCTTTGCAGGTCATCATTCGTGAGCTTGAAGGAATTCTGAAGGAGCTTCTTTCAGATCAGGTCCGTCCTTCATTGGTGTAGAAAACTTCCCCCCCCCCCCCCCCCCCCCCAATCAACTTTTGTGTATGTATCCTGTGCTTTTTTTTTAATTGTGGTTGTTGTCACAGAATGGTAGGCGCCCATTGTTGCAATTACTGCATCCAAATAGCTCGCGCCATTTCAGCCCTGATGAGCTCGCAGCCCTTGGTTCATCTGTTCCTTCGCTCGTCACCAAGGTACTTTTTAAGCTTTTCTTGAAATTACAGTTATCATCTTATAAAAAAAAGTACCTTGTAAGCAGTGCAGCTAAATTTAATCATTGTTTTATCTTACAATTTGATAGAGCCCATCAGAAGTAAATGAAACAGAAACTTCAGGGCTTGGTGAAGCTGGTAAAGAAGATGTTGATGTCACCGAGAGTTCACTTGTGAATGAAGGAGGAAAGAAGGATCCTCTTACAAGGCGGCAAGAATTATTGGTCCATAGTGGGCTAGCTGAGGTCAATGTTTTCTATTTTCTCATTCAGATATCTATAGAATTATTTCTTGTTCTCAGTTATCAAGCTTGCTGCCTTGCCTATTTCACTTTCTGTGATCCTTTTCTTCAGCCACATCCTTTATAAAATGAATTTTGTATTCCCCTCCTTTACACACTCACCTTTATCCCCTTTACCAAGCCATTCCTGATCAATAATGCAGAAACTCATTGATGCATGTTGTGAGATGGCTGAGGAATTGCTAAGATCAAACTTCGGTAAAGATGTCATATATGAGGTATTATCCTGTTTGATTAATAAAATTGTTGTACTTTCAATGTATCATAACCTTTAGGTACCACTATGTCCTGAACAAATGTTGGATGTATTTCCTGAACTGTGCCTCCTTTTATTTTATTTTTAGACTTCATAGTTAATAAACTTTGGGTTGTGACATTACATGTTGACCCACTTCATCTCAAACTCACTCTGTACTTAATCTGGAAATATGACTGTCTTTAGTGCTTTAAACATGCTAAATCTAGATGTTCCACTCATTTTGGTTTGATATAGGTTGCCATGGGAGGTGCTGACAGCATCCTTAGTCCAACTTTAGATGGAAAGTTGGAAACCTTACATGGTGTTATAGCATCTCTGGCAGCACATCCTAAAATGGAGGGGTCAGATGAACAACATCTCTTTGAACACTTCCATTCTAGCAGGACCATCAGAAAACTGATCTTGGACTCCCCTTCTTTTGCTTGCACTTTGTATGAAAAAGCGCTGAAAGGAAAATGTTCAATTTGGGCTCAAGGCCACAGGTTGGTTGGTTGAACACATTTCCTCCTTCCAATCAAATTTGCAGAGAAACAACTTCTTTCTGACTTCTTTTACAATTTGCAGTGCGAAAGTAATTAGTGCATTGTTGGAAACTTCAAGTGCTATGGTACACAAGCTTGTGAAGAAGGAAGTGCAACCATTGGTAGATGATGGTATCCTCAAATTAGCCAAATGATCTCCTAAAGCAGAATGAGCCTACAATGAGGATGAACTTCTGGTTAAAACAATCTAAGAATGAAGCGTCCCAAGGTTATTATTAGATCAAGGAATGCTTTGGACGAGTTCCTGGAAAAAATGCCCACACTCAAATGGTGAAGTTTTCTATCAAGTCAATGAATAGGTGATACAACAAAAGAGTTCTTTTTTATACCATATATAAAGATATGGAACAACACTTCTGGCCTGTTAAAATCTTGCTTTGTTTCCTAATATTCAGTAAAGCCCTTCTTTTATTTAATCATTAAAACACATCTTTTACAGGTATTTGAACTCTGATTTGTCTATGATATGAAGAAGTTGAAAACTTTAAGGGAACGTCATTTGCTAGTTGTAAGTTTTATTTTTCAGTGCGGTATGATCCAAACACTGCCAGGAAAAGACAGTAATGAGTCATTAGACAACCTGAAAGGTGCATCATAGAATAGAAGCATAACAACTGTTAGTTGTAGAACATATTCTTAGAGCTGGTTCTATGTACATAGGCTTCTTTTTCTGATCTGGGCTCAAACACTGGGTAGCTAGAAACATGTTTGTCAGTGTTTCTTTCCTGAAATCTATGAAGCAACTTCCTATAATTGCTAGGATGAGGATAACCTTGTAACTCATAATTCGATGGGTTGAAGATCGGTGTCTCATTTCTTCTTCTGAAAGTCTGAGGTTGGTTCATTGAGTAAGTAGATAGTGAAGACTTCGCCTTCAAGCAGGTGTTTATTACTGAAACTTCTTCAGTAAATCTGGCTTTAAGTTCTTTAACACGCCGTGAAATGCTTCTGGAAACTGTCCGTGCCTTATGTGGAGGAGGAAATGTTTTGGCTACTTGTGCAACATTTGTATGTCTAGGTGTTTCTTCAGTTGATTTTATGGAGCACTTTGGGCATGTGTGGTTTCTTCTGTCTGTTTCAAAAGCCTCTCTGCTTGCTTCATCCGTCAGGCAAACATATGCCTGTACCAAAACAAGATGAGAGCTTTTGGTAATAAATCAAAAATGGGTAATGATAGCTAATTATTCAGAAGCATAGATAAGGAAACAAGGACTATTCATTAGTCTTGTTTTCCACTTCAAATTCATGTATAACTAACTACTATTATGTACTTAGAACCTTGAAATGCAAGCATAACTTTTTTGCTTTTTGCATCCTGCACGTATAGTGGATTGATCGTGTACTTATCCAATCAACAATTTAGTATTGACCGTATCAAAAATACTTGTTTAAAGTTGGTGAATCGACTTCTCCCTAACATCAATCATAATGAAAAGACTTGTTTGAATTTTGAAATTTGAAAAATATCTCATAAATTGGGACGGAGGGAGTACCAAATTTTGATATATATGGCTAGGCCCTAGGTACCTGGGAAAGCAACTTGAATGCAATGTGAGCTTTGGGATGTTTGTTCTTATCAGGGTGAAGCTGCAATGCTACAATCAAAATCAAATCAAATCAAATTATAAGAAAAACAGAGTTTGAAAATACAAATTAGTACCTAGTTTACGATATCGCTGCTTAATCACATCTACTCCAACACCCTCATCCACCTGATCGATCAACTCACAAGTAAATCACAACCATCAAATTAAGCTCACCCAAATACAGAAAACAGAAAGATAATATATGAATAAAGAGGCGTACGTCAAGAAGAAGATACCAGTCTATGAATGCGGAATCTATAGTACACAGAGATCGATGAGAACAACAAGGAACACCTTTAGACAGATCACAAATCTCTGATGCCAATTCCCATTTTGCTTCATTTCCACAATTTCTTCCCATGGTTACTTAATTAATTCTTAAGCAATGTGATTAGTACTTCAATATGTATGTATGTATGTGTACCAACTTCAAATGCAATATTGATGCAAAAAAAATTGAATCTGTAAAATTAAGAGTATTGAAATGCAATGATGATTCTTCATTATTATTAGAGATGGAATATGTATAGATGAAACTTGAGAGTTAATGAATTTAAGAATGGGTGGAACGGTTAAGAAAATGAATGGCGCACAGTTTTTTTTTTTTTTTCAAAAGTGGTTCAGTTGGTGGGGCGAAAAAAGAAATTAATAGGTAGCTAGGGTGAGCTACTATACATAATTACTGACTGATTTACTTACTGTTTCTAATGTTGACACGTGCCATCACATTATTTGACTAATGGATTGAAGTAGACGTATTAATGAGATTAAACATTTAGTATATATATAAAAAGTAACTTTTAACTTTATATAAAATATAATTTTGTTTTCAATAAAAGTGATTCAGATGAACTTACTTACGGTTGCCCGCCTCTATCCATTCTCATGACACATGTCTTGTGTACAAAATCGAATCAAATCGTAAATTGAGTTAAATTGAGAAAAAAATTCGACTAGTGATTGGTTTGACTTGGTTTAGTATTGAAAACAAAAACCCGATTATATTTGGGTTGATTTGGTTTTAACTAAAAAAAAATCAACCCGAGATCAAACCAACCCGACATTATATATATAATTTTAAAATTTTATTTTATACATAAAATATTTGCTTTGATATAATTTTTAAATATTTCTTATACTTTTTCATAGTTTTATCTTTTAATATATTATTTCAAGTTTGAAACTTAGAATTCTGAATGATTCAATTGTTGGTAATTATAATAAAGCTTAAATCAAAATCAAATTAATACTAATGCAAAAATAAAATCATTCAACACTAAGAATGACAATAATATTAAATATTTGTTCTTTGATTTTACATTGGTTTAGACAATTTAATTACATAATCTAATTTTAATTTCCTTTAATATTTAGTCATGTAACTAATATTTATTAAACTTATTTTAGCATGATTTAGTACTTTTAAATTATGATCATTTTCATTATGACTTGTTAATTTGCAATATTTGTTTTACGCGATTTCATTATTATTATTTTTTTGTTGGATATTTTAGTGTCATTACTCATATCAGTTTTTGTGTTATTTTCTTAAGAAACACCTTAGATAGTTGCATTTTGGTAGGACTAAAGAAATATTTGAAGTACAAGTAAATTTTATGTTTGTATGAATACTTGACCGAAAAAAATCTGAAAAAATCCGAAAAAACCCGAGGTTGAAAAAATCGAGTTTTATTGGTTTGGTTTGGTTTATAGATTTAAAAATCCGACACTAATGGTTTGGTTTGATATTTGAAAAACCCGAACCAACCCGACCATGTACACCCCTATGTGTTCATATCTCTCGTCATTGCACATTCTCACATTAAAGCATGAATAATCCATGACAAATTAGGATATACTCCCTCTGTCCCTAATTACTTGTCCACTTTTCCTTTTTGAATTATCCATAATTACTTGTCTATTTTGACAAATCAAAGAAATGACATTTTTTTTACCTATTATATCCTCAATTAATTACTTTGAAAAAGATAAAACTTGTTGAAAATCTTAAGTTTTTTAATCATTCACTTCATAATTAATAAGGGTAAAATGGTAAACTCACTATATCAATCATTGTTTCTTAATAGGTGTGTCAATTCAAAAGTAGACAAGTAATTAAAGACACACGGAGTATAATTTTGTACAAAAATATGGAGTACGGGTAAAGTTTTTACTATGTACGACCTGTGAGTTTTAGATGATTTTCTACTTTTCTTAACATTAGTTTCTTGTTACGTGCATTGCACATGTATCCTGAATTATTTTGTAATTTTAAATAGCCACATAAAATGTTAGATGCATGTTTTTATCAATAACATAAGATTAAAAAATAAAAATATAAGCTTTTAAAATTGACCAATGTTAATACTTGCATTTTTAGCGATCTGGTAATTGAGCTCAAATTGATTGGATATAGTCCAAACATGCAAAGATTAAAAATCAAATTAATTAATCACATGAGTTGTAGTTATCTTCATTTTGATCTATGAGGGTAAATATGACACCATATGTTTTTTTATATATATATATATATATTTTACTCTCCCTAGGGAGCTCCCACCCCTTTTGCTCTCTTGGTGACTCGAACTCGCAATCTTCGAGTTGAAAGTGAAGAATGCTTATCATCCGAGCAACTCTCTCTAGTCACCATATGTTTTTATACTAATTTCGATTCCAGATAGATTTTAATTTAATTCTCTTAGAATTGCAAAATTATTCTCCTTTAGTCTTGAGTAATTTGATTTGCACATTGATTATGAAATAGCTCATATCAGATAAAATACGTACAGTCAAAATATTGTTTTTCCATTCACTAATATCAGATAAATAATTTTTCTTATGCAAAACTTCAATGAATATGTTCATTTTAATCAATAATTTAATTTGTGTTTCAGTTTTTTTGCAAATGACATGCCGTAGGACTCACTGCAATGTATCGAGAATTTTTTATTTTTAAATTTTTTATTTAAATCATTTTTTTTACTTTTATGCAGTCCAAAAGATCCACATTTCTTTGTCATGACTGGTCACCTTTATTTATTTTTTTATTTTATAATTATAATAACTAATATCATTAATTATATTTTATTGAAATAGAAGCGTAAAGATCTCAAATTATGAATAAAACCTACCTATAAACTTAAATATAATTACTAATCATATCACTATTTATACACTTTTTTAAAATGTAGAATGGATCTACCAGACTTAAGTTCCATACATTTTTAACATTAATTTTCCTTTCCGAATTGAGAAGATGTCTTTAGAGAACTTCGTATTATAGAATTCTTTTTGTTCTTTTTATTTTTTCATTATAGAACTTAAAATTGTATGTGATGTTTTTCTTTAGATTTGATTTTCTATTGTATTTTTTCATGTGTATTATTTTTATATGTTGATTTTAATTTTCTTTTATTTTTGATATTATAAGAACCTTTTCTCTTCACCTTAACTAATCTTTTTCCCAAAAGAAAAGAAGAAGAGAGATATTTGACGTGTGATTGTGTGAAGCACATACACGTTCAACAATTGTTTGGTATAAGATGAAATATTTCATAATTAGTCCTGAAATAAAATTTATATGATATTTAATTAACGATATAAATTAATCCTAATATTCTATTTCATTTCATCCAACTTGTATTTATTTTATTTCATATTTCGAGTGGAATAAATTAATCAATTATCATCATAAAATTAGGAGTATTCCAGAACAATACAGTTTGCATAGCAAACGACTTTATTTGGGAGATGGATTGGTTGACCTCCCAAATAATTAAGAGATATAATTTTTATTATGAACTCATCTCAAGGTTCGATATCTTGCTTATTTTTCAATCATTAATAAGTCAATACCATATTTGAATCTTTTTTTTTCTTTTCATTTTAATATCTATTAAGCCATCGTTAAAAGATGTGGTGTGGTGGATGTGACTTTTTTTCTTAATTAAAGATCACGGGTTCGAGATTTGAGTATGTTTTTTTTTTATAGGGAACACTTTCCACAAATGAGCCTTACGCAACACAAATCTGAATTAATCGAGCTCCAATATAAATATCAAACACCAAATTTTTAAAAAAAATCTATTTAGCGATCCCACTAACAACAAGATGAAAACAATTATTAATGTGCACTTATTCCTGTATCTTTTTTTTTTCTTTACTAAAATTTGATTTTAAGTTTGGCACAAAAACGTTTATTCTCAGTTCAACATTTTTAATTAAGCAGACATACAGCGTGTCATTATTTGCATTCTTAATTAAGGTGTAAAGTCAAATTTGAAAAAAAGAAACACAAAATGTATAATGATATAATCTTCAGTATGTTAGACACTGATGTTATATTAGTTGTAACTGGAAAATAATATTAAGAAAAAAATGGTTAAAAAGTAGTTTATAAGAAAACTATCTTATCAATGTTTGATATTTTGAAATTCTAAAATCATTAAAATAAAGTATAGAACAATGAGTAGTACAAGGAGAATGATTTTGAATTTAGGGAAAAGGGCCTGATATACCTCTCAACTTTGCCATTTGGAGCTGATATGCCCCTTGTTATAAAAATGGCTCATATATACCCTTATCGTTATACAAACGGCTCACATATGCCCCTACCGTTACAAAATGAGCTCACATATACCCTTCATTTTACGGAAGTGAAAAAATTAGTTTTAAATTTATATTTTTGACTTTTAATTTTCTTAAAAATTATTTAGGGGTATATTTCTTCTAGCAAAGTTCAAGGTATATTTTAATCTTTTTCATACATAAATTATTTTTTGACTTCTTTGATTATAATTATTTGAGTTTCTCTTATTTTATTTTTTTCTTTCATTCCTTAGTGTAAAGAAAAAAATTTAAAACTATTTTTTTGTGGCTATATTGTAATTTAATTTTTGTATTTGAAGAAACAAATTTGGTCATCTATAATAAGTTTTACAAGAATATTAGCGAAACATAAATAAATTTGACCATCAAAATAATAATTTAAATTAGTCATTGAAAAAAAAAAAAGTCAAAAAAATATTTTTGAGTAGGATTAAATATACTCATATGGGATTATATATTTTTTTTTAAAAAATAAAAAATTCAACGAAAATTAATTTTTTTCATTTCCGTTAGAGAAAAAGGGTATATGTGAGACATTTGTATATAAGTAGAGGTATATATGAGCCACTTTCATTACGAGGGGTATATCAGCTCTAAATGACAAAATTGAGGGGTATATCAGACCCTTTGCCCTTGAATTAATTTTGCCAAACGAAAAAAATGTCATATAAATTAATAACGAGAGTATAGTATATATTAATTTATAGACTATATATTAATTTATAGACTACGATAGAGATGGATTATAAAATA